CAGCAGCTCATGCTGCAATGCCTGGGGAAATAAAATGCGTCTTTGCCTGGTGCTAGAAAGACATCGTGATTGGAACCAAGTAAGGCAAACCTCCCGACAGAAGGCATTACATAAAACGGGTGCCATGTCACAGAAGGCCATCTCTGGCCCCAACTCATCTAACTTTAGGAGGTGGCGGGTTCTGGAAGAGAACCTCATGATAAAGGTAGTGGTTGGGCAGAACCGTGTAGCAATAGAAGGCAACCCCTTAAGACACCCAGGGTCGGCAAGCCACTTAAGGCTTTTTAAGCGCCAGCATTTTGAATTATGATCAGAACAGTAAGTAGCCCGTATAGTTGCTTAAGACCTGGTAAGATAAACTGCTCCCTGTAAATAGCATAGTAGTTGCATTTTTTACTAACAGGTTTCTGGGAAGTCATCAAAGGTGGCCGGCCCCATGTACAATACATTGCAGTAGCCTAGCCTTGAGGTTACCAGGGCATGAAAAAGAGCAGCCAGAATCTCTTAGTGCTGTCATCCCATGAGCTGCCAGAGTCGGCTAAAAGTTAAGACAAAATGCTTGCATGTTCAATGGCGTCTGCGGTTGAGAAGTGTGTGCACGGGGGTGGGAATTATTTGGCCCATACTAAGGAACATAGCTGTCAACTTACAGATTTGAAAATAAGGGACCAGCAGCCTTGAAAATAAGGGACCAGCAGCCAAAATAAGGGACCTGCAGCCTCACCTGTTCCAGGCACTCCAGTCTTCCTGTCCTCCTGCAGTCTGGTCAAACTCATGCTGGTAGCTTCGAGAACACTGTCGAACCAACTTTGTAACCAAAGGTTCAACTGAATAGAATCTGAATCACAAGCACCACAAGGCCTATGCAGCCTCAACTTAAGATGGCTCCCCGGCCTGCCTTTGCACTGCAAAGTTTGCAGCAGTACGTGCAACAAAATGGCATCCAGCATTCAAAAAACCCCTCAGCTTGCATTAACTAGCCACACACAAGGCATGCAAACTCCACCCACCCCCCGTCGTTCTTAGACTTCTTATTGGGTGAGCAACACAGCCAAGCAACACAGTTGGAGCCTCCCTCCTCCCTGGCCGGCAGGGAGGGAGGGAGAGGAGCTGCTTCCTTTGAAATTTAACGGACATCATTTAAGGGGCATTTAAGGGACATCTATTAATAAGGTACAGCAGCGGGACATGGCGCTGGAATAAGGGACTGTCCCTTCAAATAAGGGACACTTGACAGCTATGCTAAGGAATACCTTGAAAGTGAATGAACAGAATACTTTCACAAACCAAAGCAGAATGATTTTTTTTCCCCTGCCAGGAGGTGGGGGAAAGGCAACAATGAAATATCACTGACTTTCCAGCTCTCCTTTCTCCTCTGGTATGTTTTGCTAAGGATTACCACATGTAACAACAAGTTCACAAAGAAAATTCATCAGCTATGCGCATGCACAAACACACACACACCTTCCAGGTTGCTTTGCACACTTCCATGAGAAAGGGGATGGGCTGGCAAGACATCAGCGAGCAGCTGAAAAGTACTGCAATGGAATCAGGTGACTTGCTTGCATTCCCAGTGTCTGCAATCACCTCTGCTGAGAAAGTCTCTCTCGCTCCCTCTCTCCCCCATTCCCCCACCCCGGCAAATCACACATACGCAGGCATGCCTTGGCTTTTGGAAGACAGGAATGAATTAAAAGCTTTTAATACTACTGATGACTAAAAGGGAAATAAACAACAACAACAAAACAACAAGGGCAGACCCTGGTGTAGGACACAACAAACTCGCGGCACTGCAGCAAAACCAGCTACCCAGAATGCTAAACTGTGTTGCTGAATGCAGTACAGCTACAGCCTGCTAGGAGACAGCTGTACTTGCACAGCCAGCTTGGGAGGAACTTTGCCTTTATATCTGCTGACATTTACAGTGGTACCTTGGGTTAAGTACTTAATTCATTCCGGAGGTCCGTTCTTAATCTGAAACTGTTCTTAACCTGAAGCACCACTTTAGCTAATGGGGCCTCCTGCTGCTGCCGTGCCGCCTGAGCACGATTTCTGTTCTCATCCTGAAGCAAAGTTCTTAACCCAAGGTACTATTTCTGGGTTAGTGGAGTCTGTAACCTAAAGCATCTGTAACCTGAAGCGTCTGTAACCCAAGGTACCACTGCATAGGAAAGTTTGCCTTTTACAGTGAGGTGTAGTGGCTGTGTCTGTGTCAGATGAGGGAGTCTTGGGTTCAAATTCCAACTCAGCCGTGAAGCTCGCTGGGGTGACCGTGGATCAGTACCACCCTCTTAGCCTAACTGACTGAGACTAATTGTGGAGGAATGAAAACACTGAAGTAACATGTTTTTAAAGCGATCCGTACACAAATAACTGAAATAAAAAATAGTTCCCACTTTTAACTTAAGGTGAAAGAATTGCCACTGGTGAACTGTGCTGCCATCTAAAGCAGGGAAGGGCTCTCCAGATGTTGCTGGACTCCAACTCCCATCATCCCTGATCATTGGCCATGCCAGCTGGGGCTGATGGGAACTGGAGTCCAACAAGATCTGGAGGGTCACATATCACACCCCCTTCCCGGTTGGCCTGACTAGAGTGTTGGTCTATGACCAAGGAGTTCTGGGTTGAAATTCCTACAAAAATCACTCTGGATGACCTTAGTTGAGCAGCCTAATCTACCTCAAAGGGTTGTTGTGAGGGAAAAGGTGGTTTTAAGTTCATGGTAGGTAGGTTGGGAGAAAAAAAATGTCATTTATAAAGGCGGAACAATAAAATAAGCATAAAACTCTGGATGCAAAGGAATGGTTTAGAGACTACCTACACACGTTAATCCAGTATTGAATTGGTTTAACTATGGCCCTATTTGCTCCTAACAGTTAAAGCAGTAGGTATAACATCACTTTAACAGTCATGGCATCCCAAAAAAAGTCCTGGGAACTGTTTGTTAAGGGTGCTGAGACTTGTCAGGAACTCCCCTATTCCCATCACTGAGCTATAATTCTCAGAGTCATTTAACAACCAATCCCTCTTCTCAGGGAACTCTGGGAATTGTAGCGCTTTGTGATGGGAATAGGGCTCTCCTAACATGTCTCAAAACCCTTTAAAAACTACAGTTCCTGTGATATTTGGGGGGAAGCCATGACTGTTAAAAGTGGTGAAACACTCCTTTAAATGTATGGTGCAGATGCAGAGTGTTTCGGATTCTCAACGCTGGAACCCTGGGAATGTCAAGTTCCCGTGAAGCCTTTTAAAGAAATCTTAGCACCTATTCAAGGCTATAATTACTAGGGTCAAAGAAACCACAGGCAGCGAGATGGGTTTCAAAGCAGTTTAAGATTGTAGGCTACACATCCTCAAGATAAAACACATCAACTCCAAAATAACAATTTTCTCCTGGTGCTTCCTGGAATGATGTGAATAAACCTTGCACCAGAATGGATTTCTTTTTCCCTGCATATTCCATTCTGGTGGTATGTTTATCCATATCATACCAAAAAGCATCCCCATGGGGAGATATATATATATATACAAGAGAATAATCATGGAAGCCATCGAGATAGAGAAACACCCTCACAACATGAACAAGCGTGACGACACATCCCGCCTGCCAGACATCTGGAAATTAGCCCTCCCCACAAAAACCGACACCAGATCCAGAGGCACACAGAACGCCATCACCAATCAACCACACCAGACCCAAACCCAGACCCTCTCCACAGATAAATTACAGACACCATCCAGTAGCCAAACCATGGTGGCACCTCCGGATGCTGCACCCCCCTGCAATCCCTACACAGATCTGGCTGGCACAGGCCACAAAACCACAGCTCGCCCCTATACACGAAGCCAAGCCAGAGCACAACTAAGTGCAGTACAGCCATCTTCTCAGAAAAACTCTTCACAAAGTTCAAGAGGTCAAGACACGAAGGCTTTAGCAACTAATCCACACCTAATGACCCACCTAAGTGGTACTCAGGATATCACTCAAGAAATCACTCAAGATATCCCTCAAGTAATTAAGGAACAAAAGAAGAAAAGGCACACTAGCCTGGGAACTTCCTCTCTGCCCAGAACATTGGAGGCTATACACCACACCTCCTCAACAGTATTTATAGGAACTCAAACACTGAGATCCCGCTCTGTTCCAGTAACAAGAAGCCGAAAGCACCAGCCTGAAGATGACGAGTGAGACCTCGTCGAAACGTCGCCTAGACACCCCAACTTTTACACGGGAAGACACCCGAGGACACCAAAACCTGCATTCCTGTACCCGTGAAAATCTACGAAAGCAAATATATATATATATATATATATATATCTCCTGTCTCCCAAACACACACACCCTCTCCAAGCAAAGGCACTTGACAACCTCACCCTTCCTTCCCATTTGCCTTTGCTTGCTGCTTCCCAAACTAGACCAGTTCAAGGGATGCAGTTCAGTGGCTTTCCATGCAGAAGGGTGCAAGCTTCAACCCCAGGTATCCCCAGGTAGGACTGTGAATGACCCCTGCCTGAAACCTTGGGCCGCTGCTGCCAGTCAGGGCAGACAATACTGAGGTAGATGGATAAGCTTCCTATGTTCCTTGTGTTCCTATGTATCCCCCATCTGCTGAGATCCTGTTTGTTGCAATTTGGACTTCAAACTGGATTTCTTGGGCAAAAGAGCCATCCATGAACTGATCAAATGATGCGACTCACAGTTCAATACACGAAACTCCCTTTTTTACAAAATACTGCATGAGTATGTACGTATGTATGTGGGATGGGGACAGGAAGGCCTCTCTGTCTGCAGCGTCTTATCTGTATCTCACAAATGCCAGTCATCCCACAATGTGACAGTTACTGACCACATTCAGACAAACACATGAGTTTTCTAGCCACAAACACACACAACCCGTCCCATCCTCCCTCTGCATGTGTGTCTTCCATTCACTATAATTTCCCAGCTTATTACTGGAATAAACCAATTTACTAAATCAACTTAAAAACCATGGTCTTACTATTCTGGCTTGTTTGGAAGTGGAGTAACCATCGTTTCCCAGCTCATATGAAACAGGAAACCATAGTTAACGGGAGACATCCCTGTTTATTGGCTGGCTTGCGCGAAGGGGCTGTCTGATCAGCAAAAAAAGCTTGTTCCACCGAGTGATGTAGATGTGAATGGCTCAGCTTTCCTAATCTGCAAAAAAAAAAAAGAGGGTGGAAGGTGGCCTACCTCTCAGGGTTCTCTGAAAGCGAATTATTATCACTCCATCCCCAAACCTCTGGGATAGGACCATCTGTAGGTCTAAATGAGTCATAACATTCCTGTGTCACTCCCTTGAGACAAACGCAGGGAACATCCTGTTCTCTGCAGAGGTCAAGCAGGCAGGGCTTGATGCTGCTTAAAAAAAATTAACTGCCCCCTTCCCCAACTGAATGGCAAAGGCTGGTGCATTCTCTCCCCCACCCAAAGTCTCACTTGTCTGTGTGTGCTGAACTTTAAACTTGCTCTGAATAATGCAAGAGAGAGAGAGAGAGAGAGAGAGAGAGAGAGAGAGGGGAAAAGGAAAGGGGGGGGTAGAGGTGTCACGATCCAACCAGTTTGAATTCCCCTTGATTTCAATGGGAAAGCTATAAAAGACACACGCTGCTTCTTCAGCACGACTTCAAAGTGCTTAACTAGGGCTGAAGCATGCACCCACGTCATATTCTGGGTGTGTTTCAACCCACTCCCGATTTTCATGCCAATCAAACTAGCAAGTTGAACAACAACAACCTGGTAGCGGGCAGGCAGAAGAGCAAAAGCAAGGGGCCAAGAATGGTACCCAAATTACTGGGTAGGGAGGAGGAGAACCAGAGGGGAAATACCCCCTCAGCTGATGTTCTTGGAAGGTTACAGGAAGGCTAAGATTTGGCTTTAAAAAAATGGAGGGAGCACAGGGGGTCAAGAGCATGGGGCTTGTAGATTTCACTAAGCACCCCCTTTCCCCCGTAAATGATGCACTGACCGAGAGTATGGCAGGCATGTCGTGAACTGTATATTGCATGCACTGCACTAGGAATACACTGAATTAAAAACAGGGCACTGCAGTTAGCAGGAGACAAGTTGCCTTGGCTCTCTCCAGTTCCTCCTGGGAAAGACCCACTGAGCTCAAACTCAGGACTGGCGCACAAATGCAGAAGAGTGAAGTGAGGGTAAGGCGACAGAAAGGGAGGGACAGGCAAATCTAACGATTTTGGCTTCTCTCAGTTTCTCATTTCTCCATTCTTAGATTCAGATCTCCACATTTCCAGATCAGTTTGCAGTGGTGTGTTTATTATTATTATTTTTTAAAAAAGGCATCATGACAATTCACCTGCATTTTAATGAAAACTTTTACTTTCGGAATGCTACTTTGCCTAATATGCACACTTTTGCAAGGCGATTTTCTGTAATGTAATAATGCTTTTGTATGCTATCTTCATTCATATACACACTCCCCAGAATGTGAATTTTTGTTTACATTACTTGGATGGAGAACTGTGCTGTGCAAAAGTCAGAGAAGTGTGAATTTTGAAGCGTGGCTGCATTTTGGTTTGCGTATTTTTTCGGAGAGTGCAAATTAGGTAGGTTGAACTTTAAATGCAAACTGAACCGAATGTCTCTCCCATCCCTACACAATGGGCCGCTACAAGTGGAAGAAAGCATTTTTTAATACTACACACACACACACACACAACACACACAGGCAGGCACACAAATAAAAAAACCCAGCACAGAAGGCAAAAGCCTGGGAAATAACCTTCCTCCCTGACATCCTAGTTTTCTCTTTGCAAGGAGTTTATTATGCACAGAAGACCATTGAGACGCTAAACGCTTTCTGCCTTCCAGAGTACACAATATATGGCTAGATGGACAAATATGTCACTCTTCCCCAGCGCAAGCAACAAGCTACTATTCCTGACTCAGTTATGCCCAAAATGGGGACCATTGTTTATTTCACTCCAAACAAACCACAATGTTAAGCCAAGGTTTACTCTTGGCTTGCCAACAGCGGTTTGAGCTAAACAAACCACACACTTCAATTCGGACTTAACGCTAAGTTGGGGATTGTGGGTTTGACGGAGGTGTGAACTCCAGCCTGGTGGGAAACGGTTTGCTATGGTTTCCTATGGCACGTGAACTGTGCCACTGCCTTGCCTTCAGGAATGGCCACAGCTCAGTGGCAGAAGACACGTTTTGCATGCAAAGTGTCATCTGGCATCCTCAGCCTGGACTGGGAAATACTGTCTGAAACCTAGGAGAGCCACTAACTGGAGAGCTGGGGTAAAACAAGGGTAGCCAACGCACTTCTATTTTGTTATATCATTGTATACTTCCTACTGTGAAACCTAGGAAGTCCCCATCTAATGGGGTAAACCTACAGCAGCACCACGAGTAACAAGTTCAGCCACTGAATCATGAAGCTCGCCACCTCTGAATGCTCTCTGATCCAACTGTGTCTGCACCACTGCTCACATTTTGGGCTGAGCTGAAACGTGTGGGTTAAAAGGTAAAGGTAAAGGTACCCCTGCCCGTACGGGCCAGTCATGTCCGACTCTGGGGTTGCGTGCTCATCTCGCTTAAGAGGCCGGGAGCCAGCGCTGTCCGCAGACACTTCCGGGTCACGTGGCCAGCGTGACGAAGCTGCTCTGGCGAGCCAGCACCAGCGCAGCGCATGGAAACGCCGTTACCTTCCCGCTATAAAGCGGTACCTATTTATCTACTTGCACTTTTTAGGGGTGCTTTCGAACTGCTAGGTGGGCAGGAGCTGGGACCGAACGACGGGAGCTCACCCCGCCGTGGGGATTCGAACCGCCGACCATACGATCGGCAAGTCCTAGGCACTGAGGTTTTACCCACAGCGCCACCCGCGTCCCGGCCACCACCCGTGTCCCGGTTACATGCTCCTAAAACTGCACATAGTCGCTGGGACAATCCATGCTTGCGTCCTTCCTCTGATTTTTGCAGGAACCTCCATTCAGCCAAGCAAATGCCTCAAATCTTCAACAGCTGTTGTGTTGCAGAAGCCTAATTAAGAGCAAATGCTCACATGGATCCACCATGCTTGCAAGGCTGTTATAAATGCATTTTTGTTTTCTGCTTGGGGGGGGAACTGGGGTGAAACTCCAAGCAGATAATTAAAACTCAACTTTAAAAGATTTATTTAGTGTCAGATTACATTACAGCATAAGCCTGATACAGCCTATTAAAATCCATTGAGATATATTACACCACAAAGCGCACAGACTCATAATCCTTCATCCAGCTTCCAAGAAGCAGCAAATTTACCTGGTGAAATGACATCATAGTGCAACATGGATGACACAAAGGCCAAATGACTATGGTGGGACCTTTGTGGAAGAACCAGGGCACTCTGTTGCTTTCTCCTAAACTGCAGTCAACAGCAAAAAGAAGATGGGCTATGTTTGTGCACATATGTTTGTGCACAAGAAGACAAAGACTTCTCTATATAATGACAAAGACACTCTATATAATGGATGGCACAAGACACTCTATATAATGGATGGCACAAGCATACAGTGGTTTATGAACCACCAAGGCGATACAGGGTTTAGTGTTTTGAACTAGGAACAGGGAGATCCAGAATCAAATCCCCACTCAACCATGAAGTTCATATTTAGTCTCCCCTTTCAGAGTTTTTAGGTGTTTTTGAATGTCTTATGTAGATTTTTTAATTTCATTGTTCTGTATGGGACAATGACAATAAAGATATCGCAAATCATAAAATTTTATTGAAGAATAACAGGATATTTTAATGCCATCATCATCACAGAGGTGTCTGTGGAGGGGATATATTCAACTGAAAATGTTATCTTGTTTTTCTTTTAATTTTTTAAAAAGGAACCCGTTTGTTAAGTCTGGCACCAGACTTCTATATATATCCCTGCCACTCTGTAGGTTTTCCAAATAATAATTACTATTATTTATATGCCGCCACCTGACTGGGTTGCCCAGAGAGCCATGTTTTAGACATACATATATATACATATACATATTTTAACCAGGATTTTAACTGATACCTGCTGCTTTTAGTATTTTTACTGTTGCTACGATAACTGCTTTTGTTTCTGATGTTTCTGATCTGCTTTATATTTGTTTTATGGTTCTCTTTAATTAAAGATTTTTTTAAAAAAGTTCATCAGCTGATATTGTGGCAGTCACTATCTCCGCCTCATTTCCCTCACAGGAGAGAAAATCTTGTGGAGACAAAACCGAATATCCCTTTATTTAATTTAGCACGGAGATTTCTCGGCTTGTGGAAATTCCTGACAAGGCTCAGATCACATGTAAGCTACCTGGTGTTGCCCTGCGATTAACAACTGGTGCACACAAGGTATGTTACGCCTTCCACATAACTGGTCCAGCCCATCCTTTACTGCACACATGAATGAAGAAAGCGAAAGGTGGACATATTCAGGTGCCTATATCCAGTGATAAGGAACCTCTGGCCCAACTGGCCTCCCCACTTGGCTTGCAGGTTCCTATGCCTGATGACATTTATAATGGCAAGTTGGGGGGGGGGGCAGAGAAATATGCAGCTCCCCCAAGAACAGATTGGCAGGCACTGCTGATCATCAGCAACTGCAAAGGAATATGGGTTGCTTGATGTCATTGTGACATCATGTGACTGACAGGTGCGTAACCCTACCCAATGGTCAAACGTGGCCTGTGGGAGTGGCCTACCAGTTGGACCCCATTCCACTCCCTGCATTCTTCTGAATCAGATTATCTGGCCTGTCGAGCTCAGCATTCACTTTTCTGACAGGCAGAAACTCTTTCACCTGATCCTCTTATAGCTAGAGATGCCAGCGGCTGAGCCTGGGATATTCAGCATGGAAAGTGTGGTGGCTAGCTTTGAGTTACTAGGGGACCAACAATGGGATAGGTCAGTCGGCTTAATGTCCCACAACCCCCACTAAATTCTCTGAACACCTGCATGCCAGCCCTACAGAATTCATTAGATGCAGCATTCTTACTTCCAAGTTAAAAATAATAAAAATAATTATTCAATTGAGGTGTCAAGTTTGGTTTCCTAGGATAAACAAAAGTACGAATTCAACTCTGGCGACTTCCATATACAACAGCAGTTAAGTGCTCTTTCACTCCACTGAATTGAATTTGCTGTTCTGAATGAAGCTGACTTCTGCCTGATC